TAGTTTCAATTAAACTCGTCACATTTGTGGCCATTTATCACAAACGATTTGTTTCTATTGTCGTCTACCTGTCTCTCTAGCAAACAAGTGGGGTCACCATCAAACATGTCAAATCAAACTATTGAATCATAACGAGAAAGCTGACAGGCAAATATATATCAAATTCATACTTGTACGCATGCGCTTTTGGACACCTTGTTTCGGCAAGATTAAACTGTGAAGGATAGCTGGAAATTTTTATCATTCAAGGTTGAAAAATCATGATTTTTTTCAGTGAGGAGCAATCAAAACAGTTATTATTTGCCGAACTGAAGTCGAAGGCTCGGCTGAGGCGAATAATTGATCTGCAAGACACAAAATTCTCAACATTTTGCGACAACCGAGTTAAACATTTATTTTATTATTCAATCGTTGCAGTATTTTTTCTTCCTGTTTGTTCGAGCCAGTGCAAATTTTTATTTTAATTTGGAATACGCCATAAACTAAAGATAATTTTTGTGCAGTAGTGGACACTTATCACGCATGCGCATATGCATGATATTATTTGCAGCAAATGACAGCAAAATTATTGTTAGACTTAAATGCCCACCAACACGTCATTTTTTGTTGGTGGCTATCCGCAGATAACGTGATCATGACGGCATGGGCTAAAGGCGAGGAAAAGTTTCAAAGAATAAAAAATTGGTGATAAAGACGGTTTACTGTACGTTTGCGTGTATACAACCAATTCAAAATTCAAATTTACGGTGCTCATTTCCCCCAAATTCGTTTCCATGGTGCAAAACTGATACGTTCGAAGAATGATTCTGAACGTGGCTAACTTTTAATTAAATTCGACGCAGTATCACTCATTCTCCATCGTGGTTACGATGAAGACGAAATTTAAGATCATAGGGCTGGCTCTTGCACTTGTTGCGGTAACCTGGGTGTACAGGGAATACGGAAGAAATGGTGTACAAGACAATATTAAGATCCTACCAAGTAAGTTACTTTTTATCTGTCTTGGGCGCCTCGAACACTGGTAATTTATTTTCCTTTGAATTTTCATGTATTGAGGTTCTTTATCAATGCAACAACACAGTGAATATAAAAAAGAAATGAAAGAGATTGTACGAGAAACATCATCACTACAACAGTGACATCTTGTTACACGTAGGGAGAAATTGTGCTTGTAAGGTAGTGGCAACCCGCCAACTGTTCGTGTGCATACAAACTGATATCTTAGGTCGAAGGTTCGAAAAACACCAAAGATATGATAGAGCTTCGACTTCGAGTATCAGAATGGTATAATTTAATCTTACATGTAGTTACAAAATGAGCACATCTCACGGTAGAAATTTCACAACAGTAAGAGAATATCATATCACACAAGCTTTAGTCTTGATCTAAACGAATATTAAGCTTTCGATAATAAGCATTTCGACAGATTTATTGTAATTAACGAAATTACAAATTTTGTCGCTTTGAAATATGGTCCGCGTTCAAAACTCGTTTCGAAACTAATCTTTATATTTATTGTCGTCTTTATAATAATTGTGTATTTCAATAGAGCACGCCGGCTGTTGAAGTTTTACTCCTTGTTGCCTTAGATACCTTGAATTTTCAATTGCATATCTTATTAACAGCATATATTTTTGCAACTGCTTAGAATCCTTTTGTAATCTTATATTTCAAGCGAACTGAAATATTCTCCGTGAAATTCCAATGAATCTCTGATTACGAATCCTTCGATTGGAATATTTTTTTGTCAAAATTTGTTTTCTTTTCGTGGAGAGATATGTCAGCATACCCTTCAGGCATTTTTCTGAACAGTTTCTTGGCCTTTGGAACTATTTTGCTCGGTTAGATTCAAAGCTTTTTTTTTCAAATATCTTTAGAAACACGTTTGTTATTAACAGGTTGTAAAAATGAAATAATATCGCAAGTCTGTTCCCTCTGAATAACAATTATAACAATCTTGCAATGATATCTAGACCAAAATTCAAGACATAATGAAAAAGCAAGGACTATTCAGAAAAGAATTAGGCGTATACACAAGTTGAGAGGATATAGGAGAATCTTTGTTTACAATGTTTGCCTCATTAACATATGCGATACAGATTTTGATGGAGCTAAAAAAAAAAATAAGTTCTGACTATTAAAAGGGGATGATACGATCAACTTTCTCGAAGAATTTAAGCCCGACGTGTGGAATACTTTTTCTGCGAAACGGGTTTAAAACCTCAAAATTTTGATAAGAATTTACGAGTTCACTAGCGCTTTTGTTACCCAGAAATTATGTAGTTTTTTAAAGCCAATTTTTCGGTAAATATTTTACCCAAAGAGCCAAAAATTTTACCAATTACTAAGTTTCACACGCTCTTTAAATTTTTTTAGTCAATTTGCGTCCAGCGTGATGCCTTCTCTGTGCAAAGTCGTGTGTTGATGAGGAAATTAAAATGTAAACAACGTCAGGAAGATTCGCCTATTTAGACACCACCAATTGTTTCGACTGCGTCCTTTAACTTTTTGCGGATATTTTTCTCCGGAAAGGTACTTGGGCGATTTTTTTGCGTCTTATTTGAATTTACCCCATTGTTTATAAAAGCCATACAAACCGGTGTGATCGGACCAGTGAGATCGTTTTAGAGAACAATTCTGTAATCTCCCCCTAGAAGGGAAGTCAAAGGGTGGTTGCGAAAGACGTTATCAAGCCACTTTCTTATTGAAACAGTAGTCGTTTTTTTTTTTCTCTTTAGTAAGCCTGAATCTTGGCCAAGGAGGAAATTATGATCCTGTGCTTAGAAAAGAGGGATCCGATTCGCAGGTATGTCACCCTCTTTACTTTGAACTTTAAGACCGATGCCAAACCACGTTAACGTCAAAGAATAGAGACTTTTAAATCTACTTTTTTCGCAACCGCCAAACCTCTGGTGGTCACATGACCAGAGCCAGACGTCATCATTTGCATTGAGGTTTACGACTCGCGTTTTCGAGGCGCGGTGGCCTCATGGTTAGTGCGTTCGTCTCCGGATCGAGCGGTCCGGATTCGAGCCCTGGCCGGGGACATTGTGTTGTGTTCTTGGGCAAGA